ACACACACACACACACACACACTCTCTCTCTTTCACACACACACACTGTCATGTAAAGGCTCCTCACGTGTTGCTCGTGTCCAAGGGCTCGTCTCTCGTCTGCAGCTCTTCTTTGATGGTGGTCTTCAGGACGCTGGAGTCCGGGGCCGATCGGGAGCCATCCAGCTTCAGCTGCGGAGATTCCTGCTCTAGAGCGTGCTTCTGACTGCGTGTCTGCCTCACCGCATCCTCACACATCACCTGAACACACCAGCACACACCATCACATCACTAATGAGCCTAAACTCAAGCCACAGTTTAATCTGTCTGTAAAGAGTGCGCCTATTGAACAGGTGGAGGAAACCAGACTTCTTGGAGTTATGCTAGACAGTAGGCTGAAGTGGACAAAACAGAAAATATGGTAATTTATCAGTTATTAAGAGATGTGCAAAATTTTTACCACAGTATTGCATCTCTCAAATTGTGCAAACAATAGTTCTTACTTATTTGAACAACTGTCCGAAATAAATCAAAATAAACAAATAAATAAACAAATTATAATTCACACTGACGCACTGACTGATTGTAAGTTTCACAGTTTCTCTGAATCTGAGTTGCTTAGGAACAGACAACCAATCAAACGCTGTCTCAGTGCTTAACTCATTAAATATTCACGAACGGTCACACAAACATTCATGTGTGTTCAGAGTCATTAAACAGTTGACAATAATGAAGTGACATCGGTCTGTTTTCTGTCACATGTTCCAATGAGCACAGATGGAGAAACAGGTCATGTGATGCAATCACCCAATGTTAACCTCAAAAATATGCAAATGAGAAGAAATGCACAGTGTGAAATCTGAAAACATGAATCCAGAATCAGTGTGACACAGGATTACACTCAGCAGGCTAATAATGATGTGTGTGTGTAATCTGAATAAATAATCTCTCCATTGATGTATGGTTTGTTAGGATAGGACAATATTTGGCCAAGATACAACTATTTGAAAATCTGGAATCTGAGGGTGCAAAAAAATCTAAGTATTGAGAAAATCATCTTTAAAGTTGTCCAAATGAAGTTCTTAACAACTTGGAACATGATCTTTACTTAATATCCTAATGATTATTGGCATAAAAGAAAAATGGATCATTTTGACCCAAACAATGTATTGTTGGCTATTGCTACAAATTTACCCCAGCGACTTAAGACTGCTTTTGTGCTGCAGGGTCACATATGTTGTAAAATTCATCAATCATGAATCTCTACAGACAATAGCATCATTATTCAGATCAGATCAGTGCTGATTTCAGTTAAAAGTGACGCCCTGTCTGATTTCCCAGAGGTCAGTGGATCCGTGATGCTCAACAGGAAGTTTCATCGACAAAGAAAGAAAACCTACCTACAGACAACATGAGCTCATTCCTGCAGGAGAGCCTCAGCACACTTTCACCAGCACACTTCCTGTATGACAGGAAAAGCCACACACACACACGTCTGGTTTGCTATCCTTGTGGGGACTCTCCATAGGCGTAATGGTTTTTATACTGTACAGACCGTATATTCTATTGCCCTACACCAACCCTACCCCTAAACCTAGCCCTCACAGGAAACTTTCTGCATTTTCAGAGTTTCAAAAAACTTCATTCTGTATGATTTATAAGCTTTTATACCCGTGGGGACCTCAATTTAGGTCCCCACCATGACACGAGTCCCCATGAGTCTGTGTGTAGTCAGGTTTAAGTCCCCAGCAGGATATATAAACCAGTACACACACACACACACTTAAACATACACACACACTCACTCACTCACTCACTCACTCACTCACACACTCACACACACAGCTCTGTTCCAGTGAGCTGCCTACATAGGGAGCATCTGAAGGCGTCACTGCCGTACCTTGCCAAATCCTAGAATGCATTGCAACCAGCTCCATGAAAAAATGTATATAAATACCTTTATTCAATTCAATACTGACATTTCTATAATAGTCAAGTAAAGTCACATTCATTTATATTGGGCTTTTCACAATACACATTGTTTCAAAGTAGCTTTACAGAAAATCATGATGTCATTGTTAATGTTTTTACATTAAATGTTCCCAACTCAGTCCAATCTTCAAGAATCGGCTAAAAACGCAGCTCTTCCATCTAGGGCTGGGCGATTTGGCAAAAAAAATTAAATTTAGATTTATTTTCAGAACGTTTCACCGATTCTCGATTTTTTTACGATTTGTAACTAGTCAACTTAAAAATGTAACTACAACATGATTCAAATATCTTTTTCTTTATTAACCCTCTAGTTAAAGAAAACTCTATTCCGAGTGCAGCACACATGAAATTATGAACATGATGTAAATGTTAAACTAATCACTTGTTAAATATCTTCGCAGAAAAGATGCATGAACTACATCTTGTACAAACTTGTCTTATACATGTTATATGTTCAGAAATAATAGACTACAATAAAAATGCTTCAAAAAATTCTCAACAGTCAATGTAACTCAAATTCAAAATGACTGACTTTATACATAGAATCCCAAAATTGTACATTTGTAAACTGTACTTCTAAATATATCTGTACATTCATTTAAACAGTTACGTTTCTCTATATTTCTACTTCTGTATATAGTGCATTATTGAATTTTCTGTTTTTCTTATATTAGTGTTATACTCCATCTCTACTGTGTAATTCCTATGTCTGCTGTCTGTATATTTCTATTAAAATAATATTTCTATTAAAATCGATTTCAAAAAAATAAAATCGTGGCAAAACATTAAATTCAAATGAATAGATCAAATCGGAACAATCGCCCAGCCCTACTTCCATCTTTATCTGACCCTCTAACTCCAGCACTCTATTCTAATTCTATTCTAAACAAAGAAAAAAAACTTGCCCCTTTTAGACTTGCACTCTATTCATTTACTAACTGCTTGTTTTCTTAAAAAAAAATTAACACTAGCTTCTCTATTCTATCTGTTTTCTTTTTATTTATTATACAATTAACAAAAAGCAAAAAAAGGCTCGTGTTAGTTTTGACTGCTTCTATTGTCCTCATTTGTAAGTCGCTTTGGATAAAAGCATCTGCTAACTGACTAAATGTAATGTTTATAATATCGCAATATCTTCATAGCGTATAATTGCATTTATCAGATTAGTAGCTGGACGATAAAATAGTTACCTTTTGTGACGATATAAACAAACAAGCAGTTGAGATTTGCAATATAGTATATATATCACTTTATGTAAGTGTACTACTGTGTGTATGAGGATAAAGTTGGATATTCTAGTATATAATAGTTTGGTGTAATGAAAAATAGCCAGTGTTTGTGTTGCTGTGTATTTTTATGTTCATTAGAGTATTGTGTCATGAGTTTAAAATCATGGAGGCATCAAACTGAATCAAGTGTGTGTGAGTGTGTGTGTGTGTGAGTGTGTGTGAGAGAGTGTGAGTGAGTGTGTGTGCGTGTGTGTGTGTGTGTGTGTGTATGAGAGTGTCAGTGTGTGTGTGTGTGTGAGAGAGAGTGTGAGAGAGAGTGTGAGAGAGTGTGAGTGCGTGT